CCCTACATGAGCGACAAGTGGCTGCGTGCTACAGGCTATCCTGCAGTGCACTGAGCAGGCCAGAACCACCTCGAGCAGTGTATTGCCATTACCTTGGGCGACGCGCCATCGTCGTCGACGGATGAGACCTTCTTCCCTTATTTTTCATATCAAGCATCTTTTTTTTCTCTCTCTTCACTGGATTTTGCCACTTGGCGCGATTCAACGGTTCTCAATTTTTATAAATAAGTATTCTCTTTACATTCTTCCCCATACTTACATTCTTCCTTTTTTCAGGACTTAAAGAGAGAGAAAGAACAGTGAATGAGGGAAAGAAAAGAATAACGATGAATGAGAAAATATCAAGATTTCAGTAAGAAATTTAATATTTATTTCGACGTCTTAAAGAGTATTTTTGGATTAAAAAATTATTAAATTATGATAATTATGACTTTGTCTGTTTTGCATGTTCGTGCGCTTGTAGATCTTATAAGCAGAATTGTTCTTGTTTTCAAGCATGCTAAGTGATTTATAAACACTTTATATTTTGCATGTTATAAAATTAATATGAACTCGGTATTGTTACCCGAAAAAATAAAAGAAATAAAAAAAAAGAAAGTGGAATGAAGCATGAATGGTCTGAAGTATGAATTTATTTTAACATGCATAATGTATCAAGTGTCCTATTAGACTTTTTATTTCTAAGGGGTATCTGTTTTCCTACCCTCATCCGAAGTATCTGTGTCCCCCTCTCCTGTCTGGTATGAAAAAACGTAAGAGAACCGCTCCCTGTAGATGATGACGCACCATCTGACGAGAGTGGTGATGCAAATATCTATTAAATGTCACATTTGACTAAGTACTGTCGTGACTGTAGATATCTAATAAGATCACTATAGTTGATATGACCGTGATCGTAGATCGTATCATGGTTTAGCCAGACAGAATTATGACTGGACAAATTGTCATTATCTGTATCTGATCTTATCATTCCACATGAGTAGTTGAAAATCTGTATCTACATTCATATGTAGAAGTTATAACAACTTCGTGAAACATGAAATAAAAATCTAAGCATTTAATAATTTATTTAATTTTTTATTTTATCTGGTTTAATGCGCATCTATTTTCTTAATAAAGAAATTATTTTTCATAATATAAGATAGGTTGACGAAGTAACTAAATGGTAAATATTTTTGTTAAAATAATTCACCTTTAAAACTTTATGATATTATTTAAATATTGTTTTCCTTATTAAGTATATACAACTCACTTTTTCCATACCCCCCCCCCTCCATATAAGGAAGAAAATAAGGAACTGCAGGCAGATCTACCATTGAAAGTTTAT